TTTTCTGTTGCAGCCTCTTTCCAAAGATGTGTGAGTATCACAGTGACATCCACCACGTATGTTTGGTTGTCCTTCACAAATGTGAGGTCCTGTTTATGTAACTTGTTGTCTCTTGTATGTGGTTCTCCTGAAACACCACCCAATTTTTCTCTTTAGCTCCTTTGATAACATGTCACAGATATAGCTGAGCCTTTTAAGTCTTGCCTCCTGCAAGGCTGGATAATTCCCAGTGATATGGGACGATGTTTCATTCTCAGCCTGGCAGTGTCTGCAGGATTTGATGTACCTTGCTTGTCTACCCCTTGCTAGGAACTCTCTTGTGGGGTAAACATTGGCTCTTAATTGCAGTGCTGTTACAGGCTTGGTGATGCCTCTGTAGTTCTCTATCCCAAAGTTGCTGGTCCCACCCCTTTCAAAGTTGGTAATGCCCAGGCCCTGGGATACCAGCTTGGTCCATTTTGCAAATTCTGGTGTGTCGTGGTTTTGCCCTGGCTCAATTTACTTTTACACCCCCCATACAATTACTATCACTTGAGAGAAGGTTTATGCAGACAAAAAGAGACTGAATTGAAAAAAAAGTATGAGTATTTATTATTATTATCAAACTAAAACTAAAGAATTATATCTACAATAATTTTACTTAAGTAAAAGGTATTATGTATTTACAGAAGATACTTCTCCCCCCCACCTCCCTTTATATCAGTCCAAGGAGGAGAAGCAGTCCTTTTCTGTTCTCAGAATTCCAGCTCTCTCTCTCTCCAGTAACTCTGCAGCACTTTCGTCACAGCTGGAACTTCTTTATCTCTCTCTCATTCTGTGTTGGCCTCCAGGGCTGGGTCTACCCCCCTCCTGGGCTAAAACCAAAGGCTGGGGGTTACCCAGGTCCTGAAGGGTCTCCTTCCATAGGCTTGCAAGGGGACACTTGCTTACTATGGATCTTCTTCCACAGGGTTACAGGGGATAATGGTTTAAGAGTTCACCCCTGTTTCCCTATGGAGGTCCCTCCCCATGAGAGAACAGTCCTTGATTGACTTCTCGGCATGGGTCTAGTCTGGATCCCTTACTTGGATCTCAATATCCCACTTGAGCCATTTTCTGCTCCAGCGTAGGTTCTCTCAGGATCACAAATCTCCAGCACTAGTAGCATGGATCTCTCACTGAGATCCCGAGCTTATCTGAGCCGTCTTGCTCCAGCATAAGCATCGTCCCCTTCGAGGGTTACAAAGTCTTTAACAGGACTCTGCCTCATCCGAGCCGCTCCTGCTCCAGCATAAGGCTTTCTCTTTCTGTTAAAGTCACAAATCTCTGGTGCATCCACAAGCTCCTCTGTGAGCCGCACGGGGGGTCTCTTCACCCCAACAAACTTTCACAAGTGGCAGGGATTTTATTTTTCAGTCTTTACCCTGCTGAAGGGAAGGAGAGCGAAAGGGAGAAAAAAGCAGCTCTCCCCCCTTCGAACTTTTCTTCTCTCTCCTGTTGCAGCTTCAGCTGCCAGCTTCGACCTTGGAAGTCCTGTTATCTCATGGCTGGAATTCTTCTGCAGCGGTTCCTCGTCTAAGCAGTTCATCTTTTAAACCTTTTTTTCCTTCACTCTTTTACAGAAGAGAAAGGAGGCTTCAGTACTACACCTGCCCCCCCTGGCCCAAGCCGGGGGAGGAGGGGGCCTTGGCCCTCCTTGGGCCCACCGCTCTCTCCTACATGGCTGCTGCTCCTAATTTTCAACTGCGCAACCAACTTTCTCTTCCGTTTTCTTAAAGATGTAATTAGCAAAGGCGTCACTGAACTTTTTGATTGTTTTTTTGTCTGGAAATCACCTGGACAAAACCATCCTCAGCCCCAGGGATGGGCTGGTGGGCAAAACCATGACATGGTGTTGTCCAGTTTCAGGATTTAAGGGGCTGATGTTCAAAATGGGTACCTCCCATTCTGATGTTACTTTCTCATCACCATAATTGGGTAGTTCCATTATTGGTTTGGGTTCCAATATTGTTGACTTCTTTTCTTTGTCTCCTCCAGCTTTCATCCATAGGTTTTCATATGCTTGTTTGATTTGTTCTGTTTTCAGAATTGTTTTGACTGTTTCATCTGAAGACTGAGCCAGTCTATGCTGTCTTTGGGCTTGTGCACTTGGGGTCAATCCCTTGAGCCTGGTGGTCCCCAAACCTCCACCCTTTGTGCTTGAATTTAGGATGGTGTGATGTGCTCGGTGGCAAAGGCAACCATTCCTTGACAGTCGATCGTATCTGTAGGTCAGGGGACTCGAGGAACCCTGCTTTCCCCCCAGTGTGGTGCCCAAGCAGGTTAATGTGGGGATGGGATAAATTCTGAAGATGTCAGTTTTCTGTAATGGTTTTAGCAGTGCCTTATTGATCCATTGTGACCAGTCTCTTAATTTGCAGATAGTTCTGGTGTATCTGTACCAGTCCAGGGGTCAATCTGCAGGCCCAGATATTTCTCAGATCTACTGGGTTCAACCACACTGAGGGGTGTGCAGTTAAGAGTCCACACTGGACAGTCACTGGTGATGTACAAATCCTTAGTTGGCTTCATGTAGAAGCCGTGGCTTTTCTCTCCCTGTGTTCTGAGACCAGTAAGCTCCCAGAAGATCTCTAGGACTTTGATGTTGTTTTTCATGCCTTCCCAGGATCCACTTAATAGTACCAAGTCATCAGCAAAGGCCGTTGCTGTTATGGTGTTTCCTCCCTGTTATCATCAATAAACCAGAAATATTTTAATTTTTGAAATACCAAATTTTATTGAAAGCAAATGAGCAAAACAGCGCTGGGCGACCAGGGAGTCTCCTGCTCCACCAACGGTCGGCGCTTTCGAAAAACTGGCACCCATCTTTTATACGTGCTGCTATCCCCCCTTCAGGCAGTCCTCGGATGAAGGCAGGTCCCGGATGAAGGCAGCAAGTCCTTTTTCTGGTTCTTTTTGGCCAACCTTCTTACTTATAAATAAATTTAAAGCTTACATTCAGCATAACAGAATATAACTTGCTTAACATAACAAGATATAGTTAACCACAGTAACATAACATTATGGTTTGATATTTTGCAGCTTAAGCAAACCACTAACTCTTAACATTACACAGTTTATTTGATTAGCAAATTATCTATTTTTGCTTTAATTAACTATTACAATTCCCCCTTTTTCTATTCATCAGTAATTTGCTTATCAAATCTTATTACAGCTTCAGGGGCTGCATATAAGATAGGAATTCCAGGTATTGTTGTCCAGATTCTCTTACCCGAAATGTAATCCCATCTATCACAGCATACCCTGATTTTCGGCATCCATCTACAACTCTTGACGAACCATCTATGTATAATTTCTCGCCTTCCTCCAATTCTTCTTCCTCTAGGTCTTCCCTAATTTTAGCCTGAAGATTGATTACTTGTAAACAATCATGTACTAGTTCCCTTTCAGGTTCCCCATATAAGAATTGGGCTGGATTTTGCAAATTTGTCATCTCTAATTCTAACTTGGGTGAGTGTAGTAGGATACTTTCATATTTTAGCAAGCAACTATCTGTTACCCATTTATCAGCTTTTTGTTGTAAGATTCCTCTTATATTGTGAGGGGTGAAAACCTTCAACTCCCCTCCAAAGGTTACTCCTCTGGCTTCCTCTACTAATAAAGATGTTGCTACAATAGCTTGCAGACAAGTAGGCCACCCTTGACTTACTGGGTCTAGTAATTTAGAATAGTACCCCACTGGCTTCCTTTGTCCTGCCCATGTTTGAGTTAAGACTCCATGGGCTGTCCCATTTTCAGTATTCACAAAAAGATAAAATGGTTTTTGGATATCGGGCAGACTTAATACCGGAGCATTTATTAGATCTTCTTTTAATCTCTTTAATTGCTCCTCATCTTCATGATTCCATTTGATTAATCCGTCCTTTGTTAATTTTTCATATAAGAATTTAACTTTACTGCTATAGTTTTCAATCTATTGTTGGCAGTACCCCAATAATCCTAATAATTGTCTTATCTGTCTTTTGTTTTTAGGTGCCTGCAAAGACAGAATTCCATTTACTCGTTCGGGGTCCAGTCTCTTGTGTCCCTTACTTAGCCAATGTCCTAGATATTTAACTACTTCTTCAGTAAACTGTATCTTTGATTTTGACACTTTCAATCCTTTTAAACTCAAAAAGTTAGGTAATCTAATACTCTCTTCTCTAACTGTCTCTGGGTTCTCTCCCACAATTAGTAAGTCATCTACATATTGGATTAACACAGTACCTTGGTGTGTCTCAAAAGATTCCAATAATTGTTCTAAAGCTTGTCCAAATAAGTTGGGGCACTCTGTGAACCCCTGGGGTAAAACTGTCCACCTCAACTGTTGCTTTCGGTGGGTTTCAGGGTCTTCCCATTCAAAGGCAAAATAGTCTCTGCTTTCTTCCTTAAGGGGACAAGCCCAAAAGGCATCTTTCAAGTCTGTTATACTGTACCATTTATGGTTGGGGGTGAGTTGATTCAGTAAAGTGTATGGGTTAGCAACCACTGGAAATCGGGTGACTGTTCTCTTATTCACTTCTCTCAGATCTTGGACTAATCGATAGGTTCCATCAGGTTTCCTTACTGGTAAAATAGGGGTATTATGTGGTGACATACAAGACTCCAATAGTCCCTGTGTTATAAACCTTTCTATAATAGGTTTTAATCCTACCCTTCCTTCATTGTCTTACTCTAATTGGTTCCCCAGGATTCTGAATAATGACTTCAAATGGTTTTATATTTAATTTCCCCACAGAGTCTGGAGTATACCAGACTTCAGGGTTTATCTTTTTCATATCTTCAACTGTAAGAGCATATAACTTTACTTGTAATCCATGTTCCTTTGCCTCTAAGCCTATTCCTAATTCTATGATTAAATCCCTTCCCAATAAATTATATTCTGCTTCAGGGACTAACAAGAATGATCCCACAGCATATTTCTTAGGAGTCTCTATCTCTACATTTTTAATAAGGGGTACCCTAAATGGTTCTCCTTTTGCCCCTATAACTTGTACCGAGTCTGGGGATGCTACACAGCCCCAAGGTATTTTCTGAACAGTTGATCTCTCTGCTCCTGAGTCCACTAGGAACTCAAATTCTTGTTGCTGGGGACCCAATTTTAATTTTATCAAGGGCTCTGTATTTGTCCGGGTCCCCAGCAAACAGAGCCCCTGACCCCTCTAATCCTCTTGAAATATTTGCTCATCCTGCATACGCTTCCTGCAATTCCTTCTCAAATGTCCTTTCTTGTGGCAGTAATAACATTCTGCTTCTGTCTGACCCGTCTGTCTTTGGTTATTTGGGACTGCCTGTTTGTCAGACCCACGAGGGGTCCCACGTCTCTGCTTGTTGTTCTCTCTCCGTCCCTCCCTCACTGCTCCATACGGCGATTCCTGCGCTACGGCAGGGGGAACGGGACAGGATGGCACTCACCACTCCCAGACCGTGGAAATTTTCCATCTATGGCTGGCATCAGCAGTGATACCGGACACGGTGAGGTGCTGCCAGACTATTTTAATACCAAAATCAACCAGACCGGAACCCCTGAAGGACATCAGCAACTGGCAACCCATTACCATCGGATCAATCATTTTAAGCCTCTTTTCCAGAATAATGACTGCAAGGCTGGCCAAGGCATGCCCTGTTAACCTCAGTCAGACAGGATTTATAAGACAGGCAGGATGCTCCAAAAATCTGCCACTGCCACCCTGTGTGACCCCTCAGGTTCCACCGAGCCTCGGCACGTCACTCCAGGGTGTGGTGGTGAAATGACAGTTTTGTTAAGATGGCTTCTGCCTTTTATATGGTGGGTGCTGAACTTTCTAGAAGAAGGGGTGGAACTTGGGAGGAGCATGGAAAAGAAAACTATGTAGGGTAGAACATGGGACGGGCTTAAACATATAAGGAAACATGGGACATAGAAGGAAACTACTGCATTGCAGCAGAAATTAACTAATGGGGAAAAAGGATTTTAAGTAAATAGGGAATAATGCAGAAGTGGGAAAAATACAGTGAACTCTCAAAATGGGGAAACCCGCTATTGCAATGATTATAAAACAGTCCCAGAGAATGTCAAACAGGGGTTTCAGGGGCCTCGTCTTCATCAGCATCCTCCACTCTCAAATGATCTCTCCATCTTCGGTATTCTTCCTCAGACCCATCTCCCACACTACACCTCTCATGTCTCTTCACAGTGCCAGACTAGAGTCAAGCTCAGCAGGATCTTCTTTCCCCACTGATTCGACCAAGTCCATTCCCTTGGCTGTGGTTTGGCTGGATAGTAGGTAGGGACAGTGGGACTCTTCGTTCATCCATTCATGCACATCACTAATTAGATGACAAGGCATTTGGCTATTTGTTGAACACATAGAAATATATGTTCCTTTTCTGGGTTACGTAATGGTGGCCTGTCCACCTTGGTCAGAACTGGTAGAATTTTGTCCAGAAGTTGACGTTATGTGACACATCATGATATGAGTCCCAGTTGTCATCCCCACGTACCATCTGCCCTGATCTAACTGGCTTGTGGCAGCCCTGCAGCCCTAGCCACTGATAAACTTTATTGTAAATTAAGATACAACAGTAGTACGAGCTTTGCTCGCAAACATCTGTACAATATCTACAGAAGTGAGTAGTGTTCTAGAGGCCAAAGCTCAGGCTGTCTTCTCCCACCTCGACTTGGAGAGACCCAGAGCATTTAACAGGTCATGATTCTGGTGATACCAGGTACTCCTCGCTCCAGGGGGAAAGTCCATGAATGTAATTTTTTCTGCATTTGTTAGTTTTTGCACTTCCTCCTGGAGATGTTGGTGTTTGCTCACTTTCTGCTTTGCAGCTGTTTCCAGAGAGGTGTTGTCAAATTCATAACTCCCCATCCCGTCTGCTACGAATGCCTGTTTATCTTTAACCAAGATGAGGTTGGGTTTGTACAGCTCCTTGGATGAATCTTGGATGTTAGGCTCTTGCTGTACTCCCCAGTCTTTTCTGTTTGCCTCCTGAGAGAACACGTCACAGATGTAATTGTGCTGTTTGATCCTAGCATCCTTAACAAGTGGGCATTTCCCAGTGATATGGGAACAGGTTCATTTTCAGCCTGGCAGTGTCTGCAGGACTTGATGTATCCATCCTTCTTACCCCTCGCTAGGAACTCTCTGGTGGGGTAGACATTTGCCCTCAACTGCAGAGCTGTTGGAGCTTTCCATGGGGTATGCCACGATAGTTCTTAATCCAGTTGTTACTGACTTTGTCCCCTTCAGAGTTAGTAATTCCTATGCCTTGGGACAGCAGTGGAGCCCATCTTTTGAGTTCTGTTTTTCTCCAATTACAAGGCCATGGGTAGTTGTTTCTCGGTGTGCATGTTTCCCATTCCGATGTATCCTCTTCACCCAGCTTAGTTGTTTCAACCTTTACTTTGGGTTCCCAGATATTTGGTATCTTTTCTTTATCTCCTCCAGCTTTAACCCATAATTTCTCATATGTTTAATTGATGATTTTCTTCCTTTAGAAATGCCCTTAATCAGAACATTGTGCCAGTCTTTGTACTCTTCTGGCTTGTGCGCTCGGGATCGACGCTTGTAATTTAGTAATGCCTAAACCTCCATCCTTAATGCTGGAATAGAGGATGGCATCAGAAGTGCTAGATGGAAGATGCAGCCATTCTTTAACAGCTGATGGAACGTTCAGGTCAAGGGATTCAAGGAAGCCTGCTTTTGTTTCTGTGTGGTCTGCTAAGTATATTATTCTGGGGACAGCATATGTTTTTAAGATGTCCAGTCTTTGTAGTGGTTTGAGTGGCACATTTGTGATGCTGTTTAGCCAAGTTCCTATTTTTAGAGATAAATCTGGCTTGGCTATTTCTGTCCATGGATCTATCTGAAGGCCAAGATATTTTTCAGAACTACCAGGGCAAACCATATTGAGGGGTGTGCCATTAATAGTCCATGATGGACAATCTTTGATAGTGTATCAGTTTTTGTAGGCTTGATGAAAAAGCCATGGCACTTTTCACCTTGTGTTTTGAGACCAGTTAGATTACAAAATGTCTCAAGAATTTCAGTGTTTCTTTCCATACCCTTCCAGGATCCACTAAGTAGACAGGATCACTTGCAAAGGCCATCGCTGTTATAGAATTATTTCTGTGATGGAATCCTTCACCATACTGTTCCAGTCACACAGTAGAGGGTCCATGGCTAGATTAAATAACAATGGAGACACAGGATCACCTTGTTTGACACGCACTTGTATTTGAATTGGTTCTGATTTCTCATTTTTGGTGCCAATATGGGTGTAGATGTTCTCATACATGTTTTTAATTAGATTAATTATATGAGAATCGACACCCTTCTGTTTTAAACCTGTGATAATGTGTTGGTGGTTTATGGTGTCAAAAGTCCACAAACACCACCCCCAACTCTCTGTGCTGTCTTTTTGCACTCCTGATTAATAACTGTAATAATTCTGAATTTTCAGAGCAACCTGGGGATTTTATAAAGCTTCTTTGCCTTGGGTTGATGGGGCATGCCTTGGCCCACCTTGCCGTCAGTATTCTTGAAAACAGTCTTAGAATGACTGACCCAGTGGTAATTGGTCTCCAATTATTGATGTCATTAAGATGATCAGGCTTGGTTGACTTGGGTCCAGTTCGTCATCCCCTTACCATGCCTGGTATCTGCCAGATGTTTACTATAGATTGAAAATCTCTGTGATCTGGGAGTATTTGGGGTCCATTTTAGTAAGTTCCCTTAATGTAATCCCATCCAGCCCGGGACCAGAGTTTTTATTTATCTCCCTGATATTTTTGGAAATTTCCTTTGCCATGACCATGGTTTGGAAGGTGTTGTTCTCCTCCTGTCCTTTAGATTGATGTTCTCCAAGGCCTTTGAATCTTCAGTTGTTTCCCATCTTGACTTAAACACAGAATACACTTCCTTGGGTGATATCTCACATTTCGCAGATTCTATATTGTCAAGGATGATCCTTGCCAATTTCCCTCTATCTATATGGAATAATTCTTGGAACCTTGCTCTTTTTTGATGGTCCTCTTTTTCATCCAATTTTGTGATGTTCTCTTACTTTGTGCATTCTTGATTGTGCCGCGTTTTTGTTTTAAATTTGATGTCTTTCCTGTTTGGCACATTGAACTGAGGCATCCCTAACATTTCTCAGTTGCAGGGTTAATTACTGCATATATGTCTTTTTGCCCCTCAGTTATTTTTTAGAATGCCTCCGGATGTTTATCTTCCTTGATGATAATCATTTTCAGGTAATGGGCCCTCAGTTGTCCTGACTTTGATGATTCTGTGTTTGTTTGATGTTTCTTTCTTCTCTCTACCTGTACATATACTTCCTGGTCTTCCCTCTCTCTTTGTACAGGGTTTGTGAGAAATATCTCTAATTAAACTTTCAGAGACAGCCAAACAAAGTGAAACAAAGAACTTTATTTTCAGTGTGCTGGGTGCAGTCAGCCTCCTGCCAGAGTCTGAGAGCACACAGGGAATGGGAGGGATGAGTCCTTTTAAGGTTTCTTGATTTACAGAACCACTCCTTCACTCCTCCCACGGCAAGCCCTGCTCCTTTTCTTCCTTAAAATGTGATACAGCCCCTCTTCTTGAACTCGACTGGGTCTCTCAGGGCTGGCTCACACCTTCCTTCATCAGTCCATTGATTGTCTTACCCGACCTATCAGATTGTTTCCCTGTCCCGGCCGTGTGGCCCCTTGGCAGTGAGCCCTGTCTGGTCTCTTGTCTCACAGGCTTCCTGATTCACCTTCACACAGTAACTGTAGCAGTTAACAGGATTATAACTATTAGTAACTAGAACAGATTAAGGCTGCAACAGAGCTGCAGCCATAGGCAACTCTAGGACCCCCCTTCCTGATCACAGAAAGGCTTCTCAACACCATGGAAACCCTGCTTGTAATAAAACTGTCTCATTTATTTCTTACAATCCCCCTTTTTCTTTTCCTCATGGTTTTGTTACAAGCTAAACATTAGATGTTCTCACTGTCCTTTCGGGATCGTTCCCATTCAGCTGGCGTCTTTAATGTTTCTGTCTTATTCTTTACTTGCTCAGAGCCAGGGCGTAGGACCACGACCTTCCATGTCTCAAGGTTTCCAGTCGTAGCATTGTCAGGGTTTTGACCCTGGCTGGATTTTAAGCACTTCCTGAAAACTGCTTTCCCCCCTCCTTCCCCCTCTGCTCTTCTCAGAGGAGAGAAAAAAACCCAGAGAATTCCTGAGTAGAGATAATGTCGTGGTTTTGCCCTGGCTCAATTTACTTTTATACCCCCCATACAATTACTATCAGTTGAGAGAAGGTTTATGCAGACAAAAAGAGACTGAATTGGAAAAAAGTATGAGTATTTATTATTATTATCAAACTAAAACTAAAGAACTATGTCTACAACAATTTTACTTAAGTAAAAGGTATTATGTATTTACAGAAGATACTTCTCCCCCCACCTCCCTTTATATCAGTCCAAGGAGGAGAAGCAGTCCTTTTCTGTTCTCGGAATTCCAACTCTCTCTCCAGTAACTCTGCAGTACTTTCGTCGCAGCTGGAACTTCTTTATCTCTCTCTCATTCTGTGTTGGCCTCCAGGGCTGGGCCTACCCCCCTCCTGGGCTAAAACCGAAGGCTGGGGCTTACCCAGGTCCTGAAGGGTTTCCTTCCATAGGCTTGCAAGGGGACACTTGCTTACTATAAATCTTCTTCCACAGGGTTACAGGGGATAATGGTTTAAGAGTTCACCCCTGTTTCCCTATGGAGGTCCCTCCCCATGTGAGAACAGTCCTTGATTGACTTCTCGGCATGGGTCTAGTCTGGATCCCTTACTCGGATCCCAATATCCCACCCGAGCCGTTTTCTGCTCCAGCGTAGGTTCTCTCAGGGTCACAAATCTCCAGCACCAGCAGCATGGATCCCAGCATCCCTACCCGAACTGTTTTCTGTTCCAGCGTAGGTTCTCTCAGGGTCACAAATCTTCAGCAGCAGCAGCATGGATCTCTCACTGAGATCCCAAGCTTATCTGAGCCGTCTCGCTTCAGCATAAGCATCGATCCCTTCGAGGGTCACAAAGTCTTTAACAGGACTCTGCCTCATCTGAGCCGCTCCTGCTCCAACATAAGGTTTTTCTCTTTCTGTTAAAGTCACAAATCTCTGGTGCATCCACAAGCTCCTCTGTGAGCCGCACGGGGGGTCTCTTCACCCCAACAAACTTCTACAGGTGGCAGGGTTTTATTTTTCAGTCTTTACCCTGCTGAAGGGAGGGAGAGTGAAAAGGAGAAAAAGCAGCTCTCCCCCCTTCGAACTTTTCTTCTCTCTCCTGTTGCAGCTTCAGCTGCCAGCTTTGACCTTGGAAGTCCTGTTATCTCATGGCTGGAATTCTTCTGCAGCGGTTTCTCGTCTAAGCAGTTCGTCTTTTAAACCTTTTTTTTTCTTCACTCTCTCACAAGAGAGAAGAGAGGCTTCAGTACTACACCTGCCCCCCCCGGCCCAAGCCGGGGAGGAGGGGTCCTTGGCCCTCCTCGGGCCCACCGCGTCTCTCCTACATGGCTGCTGTTCCTAATTTCAACTGCGCAACCAACCTTCTCTTCCGTTTTCTTAAAGATGTAATTAGCAAAGGCGTCACTGAACTTTTTGATTGGTTTTTTGTCCGGAAATCACCTGGACAAAACCGTCCTCAGCCCCAGGGATGGGCTGGTGGGCAAAACCACGACAATTCTCCTTGTCCAGCTCTAAACAATGAACTTCTCTCCCAGTCTGGGACCACTGAAGAATATCAGGCCCCAAACTTTTAGTTTGTTTTTCTAACAGATACATGGACACCCCCAGAGCTTGCCCCTCATCCATTATCTCTTTCCACGGATTAAACCTCCTGGCAACGACTCCCCCCAGAGCTGCACAGGCTCCTTTTTAAGGAAATAGGGTTGGTTTGGGGACAGTTCCCTCGTGAGGAGAACCTCCTTCCCAGGCTGTGCGGGGACCACACTCTGTCTCAGGGTGTGGTGGCTCCTCTGGTTGGTGCTGCTCCTGGTTGGGATCTGTTGCCAGTTCCATCTGCCGCTCCCACCCACCCTGTCTCTCTTCCCGATGGATCGGCTTCCTGCTTTTTCATGTTTGAAAGCCAAGGACCACAATTATTCCTGATTCTTTAATTGCTTTGGATGCTCCTTGGAATACTATTCCAGGAATGTCTTGATACAGAGCATCAGACTCCACAACAGAATCCTGCCAAGTAATTATATCCACATAGGAAAGGAAATTGTTGGCAATCCTGACCTGGCTTTTGGAGGTACCAGGAGCTCGTGATAAAACAAATATCTTCAACTGAAGGCTTTATTAAAGTAGCTGAATGGTCAAACTAAGAAGTGTCTGTACCTGCAGACAACCATTCCTTCAGAGCAGATATGCAGGTGCTTGGGAATGTTATTCCCTCCTGTCAGCTTCCCACACAGCTGTGGGCATACTTTGTCCAGGCAGCTCACGAAATGCAGAGTTTCCTTCCAACCTGAAGGGAGGCTTTGCTCTCCAACATCTCTCCCAGGTGGCACTGGGTGATCGCAGGCTGCGTCTCCTGGCTCTGCCCATGTCCTGCTCTCCTTGGAAAGCACCACGGCCGGAAGGATCCAGATGTTGATCCTGATCTCCAAGACAATCAATAAAATATCATTAAACAGGCATAAAATGTGGGGAATCGATCAATGAAATGCCAGGTCTGTCTGAAAAGAGACACAAATACAGAAGAGCTGCCCCGGGACGGGCGGGCTGGGAACACAAAGTGGAGACTGAAGTGAATGCGAGAGGGATCGGCCCTGGGGGGGTCCCGCCGTCCCCTGGCACTGAAGAGCCGCCCGGGACGGGCCCTGGCGGGTGTCGCCAGAGAAGGGAGTGAGGTCGGAACAGAATAAAATATAGAGAATAAAGCAAAGTAAAACAAAAAAGCCGCCCGGGGAGCCTCCGCCGCCCCGTATGTAAAAGAGCTGCCCCGAGGGACGAGCGAGGAGTGGCGGCCGTGGAATGGTCGCCCGGGCTGTGGCGAGGGAGGCGTGAATGGGATCAAATAGAGAGGAGAGAATTAAATACACTAAAGGAGCCGCCCCGAGTCACCGAAAGAGCTGCACCGAGGGACCCGCTGTCGGGTGTCGTCAAAGGGCTGCACCGACGGCAGGGCGAGGTGGGAATAGAATTAAATATAGAAAATAAAAGGAAGAGAATAAAAAGCTGCACCAGGGATGTCCTGCCACCCTGTATCAAGAAGAGCTGCACCGAGGGACCGGCGGGGCGGCACCAGGCAGGCCAGACGATGTTCGGTGTCCCCGAAAAAGCCGCATCACGGGGCGGCGACAAAAGGGCAGCACCAAGGGACTGGAGGTGTGAATGGACTAAAATACACAGAATAAAATACAATACAAGAACCTCACTGAGGGGTCATCGCTGCTCCGTGTCACTGAAAGAGCTTCAGGGCAGGACCTGCCAGGTGTAAATAGAATGAAATATAGAGAATAAAATAAACAAAATAAAATAGCTGCGCCGAGGGGTTTCTACTGCTTGGTACTTAAAAGAGCTGCACCGAGGGAGCACCGGGGCGGCCTCGGGGGGTGTGAGGGAGCGATGAACGACCCCGAGGGGCCTCTGTTGTTCTGTGCCACTGAAAGTGCGGCCCCGAGAGTCGGGTGGGGTGCTCACTCTGTCCTGTCTGCCTCCGTCCTGCTCGTGTCCCACCTGCCTGCGTCTCCTGCTTGTCTCGGATCCAGCCTGCTCACCCCCTGCTTCCCTCCAGTGGCCCTTCCCTGACTGCCCGAGGCTGACTACACCCGCTTCTCTCACTGGTGTTGATAATCTTTTGCATTTTCCTTTTGCAGCCTTTCCTTTTCCTCCTCTCTCCCTCTCCTCCCCATCCCTCGCTTTTCTTTCCCCTTTTACTTATTGTTACCAATAAAGCCAATTGTCTGTTTGAGACCTAACATCTGGAGTTTTGTGCCTTAATCTCGCCCTCGAAGCCATCCTCTAAAGAACCCCGTGGCAGCCCCAGACCGGACTGGAACAGCGGGCGCGGCCCGGCCCGACCCCTCCACCCGCGCCAGGAGCGGCGACCCCCGCGGGCCCGGGCCGGAGCAGGGGAAGCGGCTGCAGCGGCGGAGACGAGCGGGGTGTTCCCAACCGGGCCCGCTCCGCCCTCGGGCCCCGGGGGGAGATCGGGGGTTGTTCCCAACCGGGTCCACCCCACGGACCCCCCAGAACCCCCCACCCCCGGGGCTGCAGCGCCCCCGACGGCCTTCAGCCAATCAGAAAGCTCCAACGCAGTTCTGGCCAATCAGAGTGCGCTCGCGCTGATGACTCATCAGTTGCCGGCAAGACGCGACGAAAAACGAGCCCCGATTTTGCCCTCAGCCAATCAGAGCGCGTCCAAAACCCCCCCAAACGGCCCCGCCCGGCTGGTTTTGGGGTGTCAGCACCTGCCCGGCGCTGGGGATGGAGCGTGTGCGGGGAGCTGGGGCCGTGCTGGTGGTGCTGGTGGTGCTGGGAGCCCCCCCGGCTGCGGGCGAGGAGCTCTCGGGTGAGCGGGGGGGGGCGGGAAGGGGGGAAAGGGGAGAGAAAAAAAGGGATGGGAGCCCCAAAAGTGAGTGTGTGGGGGGGTTGGGACCCCCGGAATTAGCGGGAGGGGGGTGGGAGCCCCAAACTGAGCGAGGGAGGGTCTGGCGGGACGATGGGAAAGGGGTGGGAGAGGGGGAAAAGGGAGGTGGGAGAGCAAGAAGAGGGGTGCCATGGGGGTCCCTCGCTGTCCCCCATCACTAAAGCCCTGCAGCCGTTCCCTGGGGCTCGGGGGTGGGGGGGCGTATCTGCACTGGGGGATCCCGAACGCCTCTGTCCATCCCCGGGGGGCTGATGGGGGGTTCCCCCAGAAAGAGCTGGTGCTGCGGCGGCCGTGGGGTAGAGGGGGGTGGGAAAGGGGGGTCCGGGGTGGCCCCCTGAGCTCCCAACCTGCTGGCAGGGGCTGGGGAATGATGAGGACGGACGGGGCGCCCCCTGACCCATGTCCTTGTCACACAGGGGTGTTCCAGTTTCTAGGAAAGATCGAGTGTCACTTCATCAACCGCACCGAGCGTGTGAGGTACGTGGAGAGGCTCATCTACAACCGGCAGCAGTTCGTGCACTTCGACAGCGATGTGGGGGTCTTTGTGGGGGACACCCCGATGGGGAGATCCAGGCCAGGTACTTGAACAGCAAACCAGAATGGCTGGAGTTCAAACGGGCTGCGGTGGACAGGCACTGCCGGCACAACTACGAGGCGTCCACCCCGTTCCTTGTGAACCGCAGAGGTGAGCGCGGGGCAGAGCGCGTCCCCTCGGGAATTCCCCTGCCCCGGGAACGACCCTGGAGCCCCTCAAACCCTCTCTGAGAATCACCCCAGAAACCTCAGCCCTCCCTGTGCCCATCTCCCGCCTTGTGCCCCATCCCAGTCTCTTCCTATGCCCCCCGAGTCCATTCCACTCTCTCCCATTGCCCCTCATTCCATTGCGATCCATCTCAGTCTCTCCCAGTGCCTCTCATTCCATTCCTATCCATCCCAGTGTTTCCCAGTGTCCCCCCCCGCGTCTCCACCCCGCTGCTCCCACCGCTCTCCCTCCCTTCAGCCAATCAGAGCGCGTCCCTTCGATGACTCATCAGTTGCCGGGCAGACCCGCAGCGCAGAGTTACCTCTCCAGGACTCAGCCTCCCAGTCCCGCTTGGTTCCTTCCCAGTCCATCCCAGTGCGTTCCCAGTCCTCCCAGTTATTCCCAGACCCCCCAGTCATTCCCAGCCCCTCTCACTCCACTCTCAGACCCTCTCAGTCCATTCCCAGTCGTTCTCAATTCACTCCCAGATCTTCCAATTCTTTTTCCAGTGACCCTCCAGCCCATTCCCTTCTACCCTAGTCCATTCCCAGTCCCTCCCAGTGCCACCCAAACCCCTACCAAGGTCCTACAAGCCCTCTCCCCTCTCTCCCAGTGCCCCCCAGCTCAGCCCAGTGTCTCCCCCGTCTCTCCCAGTGCCCCCCAGCGTGTCCATCTCGCTGGTGCCGTCGAGCTCCCAGCCCGGCCCCGGCCGCCTGCTCTGCTCCGTGATGGATTTCTACCCTGCGCCGGTGCAGGTGAGGTGGTTCCAGGATGGGCAGGAGCTGCCGGAGCACGTGGTGGCCACTGACGCGGTCCCTAATGGGGACTGGACCTACCAGGTGCTGGTGATGCTGGAAATCCCCCCCCGGCGCGGAGTCACCTACACCTGCCAGGTGGAGCACGTCAGCCTGGAGCACCCCCTCAGCCGGCACTGGGGTACGGCCCGGCCCCCCCAGCACCGGGGGGACACTGGCAGGGGGACCAGGGATGTGGGGGAGCACTGGGGACACTGGGAGGCACTTTAGGGGGGTAATGGGAAGGGTTTGGGGTGCAACTGAGAGGCTGAGGAGGAGTCTGGGGGTTCCTGGGAGGTCTGAGAGAGGCTTTGGGGGGTTCTGGCATCGACTGGGAGGGAGTCTGGGGGAGCCTGGGTGGGATCGAAGGGAGGCTGTGGGGGGCTTGAGGCGACTGGGAGGGGGTTGGAGAAGTGCTGGAGGGGCTAGGATGGCACTGGGTCGGGTTCAGGGGGATCCTAGGGATGATGGGAGGGGGGTTGGAGGATCCTAAAGGGGATGGTAGGGGCTTTATGGGATCCCGGAGGGGCTGGGAAGGGACTGGCAGGAAATTTCAGGTGGTCTTGGTTGGCTGGGGGAGAGACGGATGGGGTTTGTGAGGTCTTGGAGGGTCTCTGGGAGGTTTTGGGGATCCTGACCCCCCCGGCTCCCCCCAGAGATGCCACAGGACACCGTCCGCAGCAAGATCCTGGTGGGGGTCGGGGGCTTCGTGTTGGGTTTTGTCTTCCTGGCGCTGGGGCTCGGCTTCTACCTGTGGGAGAAGGTAAAGGGGGGTCCCCGCGGGTCGTGTCCCCCCTTCCCCAGAGCGTGTGTGCCCCACTTGCCCCCCCAGCCCTCTGTCACCCCCTTTTCTCTCCCCACAGAGCTCCTGAGCCGGCGGCAGCTGCAGCCCCTCCCCGTGGCCTCGGGCCCAGCCGGGACCCCTCAATCCATCCCCACCCGGAGTTTGTGAGGGTCTTGTGTCCCCCCTGGCCCTGCTTTTGTTCTCACACCAGCCACCTGCTCCCTGCAGCGTTTAACATCCTGCTGTGCAGAGGCTGCTAAACTTTTTGGACTGGAAGTCAGCTTGAAGAAGACAGAAGTTTTATATCAGCCTGCACGTCAAGAAGTCTCCCGTCATCCCGCTATCACCATTGGTGAAACAGAGCTCAAATCAGTCCAGCAGTTTAATTACCTGGGAAGCATCATCTCCTCAGACGGTAAGATTGATGCAGAAATAAACAACAGGTTACAAAGGTGTACAGAGCTTTTGGTAAACTCCATAAAAGAGTTTGGAGAAACAAACACCTGAAGAAAAGTACAAAGTACAGAGCCATTGTACTGTCTACTCTTTTATATGGGTCTGAATCGTGGGTCATTTACCAGCCACCACTTGCGTCTCTTAGAACGCTTCCATCAGCGCTGCCTCCGTACAATCCTAAACATCCACTGGACGGATTATGTGACCAACACGTCTGTCCCTGAACAGGCAGCAGTCCCGAGCATTGAGGCCATGCTGCTGAGAACACAGCTGTGCTGGGCAGGGCACGTCTCCAGGATGCAGGACTGCCGCCTCCCTAAGATTGTGCTCTATGGGGAACTTGCCACTGGCTGCCACAGGAGAGGAGCCCCAAAGAGGAGATACAAGGACTGCCTGAAACAATCCCTCAGCCTTGGCCATATTGATCACCACCATTGGTCTACCCTGGCCTCCAATCGGGAGGCCTGGAGACACCATCTATAACACTGCTGCTGCTTTTGAGAACACACGCAGGATCACTCTCGAGGAGAAAAGACAATGCAGAAAGAATCGCGTCTCATCGATATCACCTGGGGAGTCTTTCTGCTGTGCCTTCTGCAACCGGACTTGTCTATTTGGCATTGGCCTTTTTAGCCATCAGCGCGCTTGTAGCAAGCGTGGGTAGAGCCCTTCTCAAACCTTTGTTCGCGAAGCCCAGCCATGAACCCCCTGCTCCCAGTGCTCCCAGTAAAGCTTCCCAGTTCTCTGCAGTCCTGCTTATTGGGGGGTGTGGGAGACAACATGCAATGGAAACATCAGTCATAGAGGAGAAACAGATGCGGCCCAAGAGAACTCCTGGAGTCGGCACAGAGAAACCTCATGTTGTGAAATCATTGTTCAGCGCTACCCTATGTTATGTAACCTCTCTCCCCCCACCATCCCATGCTGCCGGCCGTGTGGAATGCAGTTCCTGTTCTGCCCCCAGAGCCGGGTCACGCCCCTATCCTAACCCCGTTTGCTGTTTCCCCTGCCTTTCCCTGGTTCCTGGGTTCTTACTGGGTATTACCCTCCCGGTCCCTCTCATTGGCTGGCCGAGTAGCCAAGCCTTTCCCTTCCTTCCAGCATCCTTATAAGCCGCGGGAAACTTGAATAAACCCTCTTTACCTCCTGCTTGCCTGCGTGCCGTGTGGTCACTGCTGCATCCCTCACCTGGGATCACAGCACAGCAACTCCATCCTGGGGAGGCAAAAAGCAGAGAGCATTTCCCCTGCAATCCTGTCAGGTGGGGCAGTGGGGGAGCTGCAAAAATCCTGAAAACAGGGGATTTGGCCACTTTGAGACCCAAAAAATCCTGGAGAAAGGTGGTTTGGGCACATCCAGAGCCCTAAAATCCTGGGAACGGGGTAATTTGGGCACTCCCAGACCCCCAAAATCACGGGAACTGGAGGTGGTTGGCACCCAGGGTTACTCAGAAATCCGGGACCCCCCAAAAACCCACCCTGGTCCTCCTAAGCTGCGGGCAGGGTCAGCTCCAGAGCACCCAATGGAAGCCAGCGCTTATGACGCGTCATCAG